GAATGGGAAGTCCAGCACCCACGCCACAGTTCATGGGGGAGCAACAGCCAGCCTGGTGGCCAGCACCCTGTGGGAGCCCTGGGTGAGCCACTAGCCACCTACAGACATCACCGATAGTAGCTGACCACAGGGCAGCCTGAGCGCCACGGAGCAGAACATCATAGAGCCTGGCTCACCAGGTGCACTCACCCCCACCACGTCGTCATCTTGATTGGCAGACATGCACATGGGCCAGGTCCCATGGAAAAGGATCCTTGGGCCACATCCAGGCACAGGGGGAGCAAACACAGGCTGGGAGGGATGGACCTTTCCAAGGTTCTCTGATGCTGCACAGGCCAGAGCAGGGAAACCAGGGCCATTGTTCCCTCAGGGGTCACATTTGGGAGTGCAGAGTCACAGAGCCCTGGTGCCCTGAGGGGTCGGTCACACGTGTGGGAGTGTGCAGTGTCACAGAGCCCTGGTCCTCTGAGAGGTCAGTGTGCAGTATCACAGAGCCCTGGCCCCATCACATGTTTGGGCATGTGCATTCATCTTTGCTGGTGATTCCTGACTGCATTAGGTCCAGGCATTTTTCTGGGCTTGCATTCCCTCTGTCCTCCTGGTGACTCAGGGTGTCCATGCTCATCTTGCCTGGCAGAGCCCCGTGCCCTTGAGCGACTGGCTGTGTCACTGCCAATTACGTGTCTGATGGCTGAGCTGATGAACTGGGAATGAGGCTGCCAATGCTCAGAGGAATGGAACTGAGATGCGTGTTTTTCAGAAAGTAGAATTTGGGGCCAAGTGGCCTCCTTCTGTCCTGTCCTTCCCTGTGTCCTTCCAGTCTCCATGGAAACACTGCATCTGTGCCTTAGGGCGTGGATTGGTGCTGCTGCCATGCCCGGGAGCCCCGGAGTGGACGCATGGATGAGCCCAGCATGACACGAGGGCGTCTGCAGCAAGCTGCCCTCCTTCACAGCTTTGAAAACATTAGAGTGCAGATTGAACCCCGTTGTCCTCTGTGTAACCACATCGGCCCATGTGACAGCACTGGGGGCCGCCTTGGCCCCACAGGGCCTCTGTGGCCCTGCTGGACTGTCAGCCTGTGCACGCGCTTCTGGACCCCAGCCACTCTGCTCCTGGCTGGGAGGAGTCCTGGGTGGCTTTTCAGATTTTTTTGTGAACTCAGCTGGGTGACATTCATTAAGCACCTGCTGTGTCTATAATGGCTGGAACAGAGAGCAGGGCTCACTTACGGTCCTGCTGTTGCAGGTCCAGGAGGGTGAGATCCAGGGAGTGAAGCTGCGGGTGGCTCCTTCTGCAGGAGGGAGTTTGGGGAGCCAGGTGGGACCCAGAAAGAGAGAGATCCACATGGTGGGGCTGAAGCCAGAGCTGGGCACTCAATTCAGGTCTCCCCTGTGGTGACATGAACCCAGTGGCCTGAGCTATCACCATTGTCTCCCAGCAAGAAGCAGAGGCCTAGAACCTATGCTGGGACAGAGTCCAGGTTCCCTGCCAGTTCCTCCACCAGCAGACCTCCAGCCTGCCCAGAGGGAGTGGGGCCGCAGCAGGTCCACGTGGGAACCCTGGGTGGAGCTAGATGGCTGGAGGGAACTGGACCATGCATGGGAAATCCTTCTCCAGCAGTACCTGGGGCCAACCACAGAGCCCAGTCTGGAGCTAAGAGTGCAGTGGCAGTGAGGAACTGTCCATGTTCCAGGCTGCGGGCGAGCCTTGGGCAGAGGGCAGCAGAGGTGGCTTCAGGATGGGGGGTTCCAAATGTACTTGGCTGGTGGCTGCTGTGTCCCTGAAGACAGGTGTCTCCCAGCCAGCTGACATGCTGGGAGCAGGCATGAGAAAGGATGGTGTTACGTCCTTCCCCCAGCACTGGGGCCCACAGCCCTGCCGCCTGCCCTCTGGGAAGGAGACACGGCCTGAATCCTCACTCCAGGTGCATCGGGAAGTCCGCCACCTGTGGGCCTTCATGCCCAGGGAGCTGCCAGCCCAGATTGGAGCTGTGGGGTGTGCTGGTACTGGGCAGGCTGGGCTGGATTCCTGCTTTTGTCCAGCTAACCCATTCTTTTTTTTTTTTTTTCTTGTGGGCTTGAGCTGTCAGCGAGCAGTAGTGTCAGCGCTCGCCACTGTGAGGCTGTCTGACGGCCGGCAGTGGGTTCACCTGGCCCTCACAGGGCTGTCCGAGTGGAGGCCATCTGAAGGTGATCCCTCCTGTGTCATGGCAAGGGGTGGGGCTGCAAGCATGACATCAGAGTCGGTTCTGTTGTGATGACATGCTTGCCTCTGTGTGCTGGAACTTTGGCAAGGAGGTGGCCCTGCTGACTCACTTCCCAAGTACTCAGGAAGCCCACCGGGGTCTCCCATGTGCGTGCAGAGGTCCGAGTACTTGGGCCATCTTCTCCTTTCACAAGCGCACCAGCAGTGAGCTGGCTCAGAAACAGCCGGCACTGCATAGGGTACTGGCGTGACCAGTGGTGTCTTTACCCTGCATGGCCGCACTGGCCTTGGCTTGCTAAGTGTGAATGCTCAGGCAGGTGTGCAGCTGGACACTGGTCCCCTGCCTACCCCCGCAGAGAATTCTCCAAAGCTTTGTTTCTGTCCATCCTGCACAGACAGCACAGCTTTGTTCCTGCATGTACCCACGTGGACATTGTTGGAGAGACGCCGAGGCTGAGCCGCACCGCCCGCTGTGTCCCAAAGCTGCCTACACTTATCGGAGCCCTGCACAGGGCTAGGGGACTGCCCACAAGGTGAGTATGCCAAGCCAGGAGACCTGGCCTGTGGTGAGGGCCCTGGCGCTCCCAGGTTTGGCTTTCTGAGTGATGTGGGGGGGTGGCAGTGCCTCTGGCTGGGGCAAATGAAGCAGCTTTGAGCACGTGTGGGGGTTGTGTGCATGGGGCTCTCATACCTAGTCTGTGAGCTTCAGACATGATGGGCAAAGCAGCCAGTGTCTTCAGGCTGGTTCCTGGGGGCAGCGATGCACCAGCCTGGACCACCTCCTTGTGGTCAGCTGGTGGGTGGCGTCAGCATCACCTGCAGGGCCAGAGCCCCACCCCCTGAGTCTCTCATCCTGCAGGTCTGGGGGTGGGGCCTGGGGATTGGCAGGTCCCCAGGTCCCCCAGTGATGCCCAGGCTGCTGGTCCGGGAGGCACTTGGAGAACAAGGAAGCCGGCAGTCAGGTGCATGCCTGAGGCTGAGCCGGCTTGTGGGAGAAGCCCCAGAGAGCGCCGGGCGAGTGGGGCAGAACAAAGGGAAAGTCTGGCTCCTGCACAACACCCGCCAGGTGGAGAAGTTGCTAGGTGATGGGTGAGGCGCCGTGGGGAAGCAGGGGTGCAGCGCCGGGAGGCAGAGGGGGCGGTGGAAGCGTCTCATTAGCAGTGGCAGGGGGTGGGAGTGAAGATGCACGGGGAACGGCAGCCAGGAGGACCCTGTGGTCTTCCCTGGGTCCCTGCTGCGCGAAAGGCGCCTTCAGCGCATCCCATCCTGCCCAGCAACGCGGGCCCCTCCTCCGGGCTCCTCCTCGGCCGCTGCCCCCTGTGCCTGCAGCAGCCGCCGGCAGCCAGCACTGAACGCGTCAGAGGCTGACTCTGGACTGACAGCCCCCACTGGGGTCTCCAAAGAATGAGCTCAGACCTTGGTGGGTGCAGAGGGGATCCTGGGAGCCGAATGGCAGGAGGCAGGTGCCAGAGGGGATGCAGCTGGCTGCGGCAGCTTCAGCCTTCACGGATGTGACGGGCAGAGAGGAGCTGTGCGCGAGGCCGCTGGCTGCTGGCTGTGGTGGCGGGCGGCATGCTGTGGATGTGTGTGTGTGCCCGCGTGTCCCACACCATGCCCTTTGCTTGCCAAGCTCTGGCAGCTAAACCAAAGACCTCCTCTTTCCCTCAGGGCACCTCAGCCCCAGCTGCCCTGACCACCAGCCCCGTAGGGCATGAGGACTGGCCACCAAGGGTGAGTGCTGGTACCATCCCGAGTCGGGGTGTGCATGGCGGCCCTGGGCCGACTCTACGGGGGGTTTGCCTCAACCCCACATCCCAGCCCCGTCCCCTGCCCACTGCATCCCTCCTGCTCAGTGCCCTGGGTCTCACTGCCTACCCATGAGGCAGGGAACAAGCACCTGGCAGCCTCCTGACCTCAGGGAGACCTGAGGGCTGCTCCTGCAAGGGGCCCCTGCCCTGAGAAACAGGAGTGGCATCCGGGTTCAGGACTGTGAGAATGAGTGACAGCCCCAGTGGTGTGGCTGTCAGGGGGACAGGGAGGGTGTGGTGGGAGTGGGGCACCCCTGTCCTGAGTGACCTTGCCTCTGCATGGTTGGCTCCAGAGTTGGGGGTGCCCTGTGGCCAGGGCACGGAGGCTCTGAGGCCCCTGACCTGGTCCTGGGCAGGCCTTGTCTCTGCATGCTTGGCTCCAGGGTTGGGGGTGCCCCGTGGCCAGGGCAAGGAGGCTCTGAGGCCCCTGACCTGGCCCTGGGCAGGTCTTAGTGCTCAGAGCCCACCAAGGTGCAGCACTGAGTTGCCTGGGCCCTCACTGTCCACGGCAGATGTCTGGAAACAGAGTTGTGTTTGGGGTCAGAGTCTTGGGTGCCCTGTGTGGGCACCAAGGGAGACAGGCTCTGGGCTGGGGTGCTCTGGAACGGGGAACCAGGTGTGGGGTCTGATGTAGGCCAGTATCCAGGCTGGGGGAATCCCCACTGCTCCCAGGACAAGTATTGCGTCTCCTTGGCCAGTGTCTGTGGTCCCTGTGGGGCACAGTGCAGACAGCCCCTTGAGAGTGCCCTGGGCCAGACACTTTTGCAGGCAACCCCCTGCCCACCTCAGAGGAGCAGGGGCAGCAGGCGTGGCCTGCCGAGCAGGGACTCCCCCAGGGCGTGTGTCCCATTTTCTGCCAGCAATGGCCAGTGGTTGCATCCACTTGTCCTATCACTTGCTCTTGCTCAGGGTGCAGGATTGGAGCTGGGCACTGAGCTATGGTCCTGTGGCACAAAGGTCGCTTCCTCCTGTTCAGGTGAGAGGTGTGTGGGGGCTGGCCCCCGAGCCGCCATCCTGGTCCTGGTTCCTGCCCCGGTCCCGCTGGCTGGCTGGGACACTGAGCGGATGTCTGCATGGCTGCCCTGCTGATGCCCCGCAGGTAAGAAGCCTGCCCGGCCTCTGGCCCCTATGTGCAGGGCACTAAAGGGCCGCGGGTGGGGCCGTGCATGTGGGAGCTGTTCCTTCCATGGACCTCAGGAAACTGCCCTCACTGCTCCCTGGACTGCTGACCAGCTGGGCTGCTCCCTGGACTGCCTGAGGCCTCCTCAGAGTTTGAGGGCTCCTGGCGCAGTGTTGGGTGTGTGTGGCCTGCAGGGTGGCTGTGTGGGGTGTGCGTGTGGCCTGCGGGGTGGCCCATGTGAGGTGTGTGTGTGGCCTGCAGGGCAGTTGTGTGTGGGATGTGGCCCATGTGGAGTGTGTGTGTGGCCTGCGGGGCGGCTGTGTGGGGGGTATGTGGTCTGCAGTGCAGCCCATGTGGGGTGTGTATGGTCTGTGATATGATGGGGAGGGGCCAGGCATGAGACCCCTGGGTGCTGTGGCTGCAGAGACCCCTTCTCCCCACCCCCAAGAGCACTCAGTAGCTGGGTCTGGTGGGGCCCCATCTGCAGCAGGGCAGCAAGGGTTAGATGGGGTGGCACCACAGGCTGGCTGCCCACAGGGAGAGCCTACAGCCTGATCTGTCTCCAGCCCCTTCTTGCTTCCCTCCTACTCTTCTTCGTTCCCCTAATATTTATCTACTTAAAACAGTACTGGGTGGGGATGGGGTGGGGGAGTAAGAGAGATAGCTCAAGGTCTTCTATCCACTGGTTAAGTCCACAATTGGCTGTAACAGCCGGGCCTGGCCCAGGCCAAAGCCAGGAACTTCCACCCAGGTCTCCTACATGGGTACAGGACCCTCTTGTGCTCACTTCTGACCTCAGCTTGAGGCTAAAGGTCAGAGGTCAGTACACCTGCTCTGTTCAGGGCCTGGGAGTGGCTATTACACTTGTGGGCCCAAAGCACGTTGAAGGGGTCTGGCCAGCAGAATCTAGTTGAAAGCATGGACCGCTGCTGTGTGCTGATAAAGCTTTTTTTCACACACATGGCGTGTGCAGGGCAGCTGGGCAGGGGCTGGGGTGGCCTGAGGCCCCGGGTGGTGGTGGCCATGGCTGTGACCGCCCCTATCCCCTGCCCCACGCTGGCCACAGGAGCAAGGGGATGCGGACGCGCCTGGGCTGCCTGTCCCACAAGTCCGACTCCTGCAGTGACTTCACGGCCATCCTCCCCGACAAGCCCAGCCGTGCGCTCAAGTGAGTGGGGCCCTCCCAGGGGGTCCCTGCAGGCGCCTTTCCGCAGCCCAGGGGATCTGCATCTCAGCTGCTCCCTCTGCCCAATGGGAGCGGCCAGGCCACCTGGGGCTCCTTCTCAGCCGTGGGCAGGGAGGACGCGCCTCACCTCTGCTTGCCAAGTCTGACGCTTGGGTGACACTCGTTCTGTTCTAAAAATATGCCAGGCTCCAGGTAACCTGGGAGCCGCCTACCCGAGCAGGCGCTGCCTACCTCGCCCCCAGGAGCCCAGCCAAGACTGGGGCTGTGCACTGCTGCCCCACATCTCGTGTCCTGGACGGCTGTGCCCTCTCCACTGAGAGCTGGCCCCAGTGTTCTGTCTGTCCCATGGGTAGCGCAGGGTCACCGTGGCAGGCCTCGGTGGTAGGGAGCGGGAGGCACCCACTCACCCACTTCTGGATCCCCCAAGGAGACTCTCCACGGAAGAAGCGGCACGGTGGGCAGACTCCTTCGACGTGCTTTTGGCCCACAAGTGTAAGTCCAACTAAGACTCCATGGGCCTGGGGCAGCTGGTGGGGAGTGGACCGAGAGTGTGGGTTCAGGGATGGCCGCCTGCTCTGTCCTGCATGGGGGTCCTTGCGGTGACCCGTGGGTGGCAGGCAGTCAGGCCCCAGCCTCACTTGCAGTTATGGGTCACCAGCTGGAGGCTGCTCAATTCCACGTGTGCTGAGTTGGGGGGCTCTGTGTGGGCGGAGTCTGGCTGCAGGAGACTCTGTCCCCCTCCCATTCCCTTTCTGGTCCACTGCAGAGGCCATGTGCCAGGCAGGACAGGGAGAGTGGCCCATGACCTCGCTCTGGTTCTGGCTGCCTTCTCATGTGAGCAAGGCCACAGACCCCAGGCTTTAAACACATGCTGTGGGCGGGGAGTGCAGGGTGATGGGGAGCCAGGGATCGCAGGGTCGGGAAGCTCTTGGGCCCAACTCCTGGAGCTGGGCATCCTGGCTGACCTGGGAGCTGGGCCACTGCCATAGCTGCTTCCACTTAAGTGGGGAGCAAGGTTGGCATAAGGTGGGAACCAGGAGCTGCTTCTGGGATGCTCACCGCTGTGTTCCCAGGCGCAGCAGCAGGCAGCTGGATGAGAAGTGGAGCAGCCAGGACCCAGGCTAGAGCTCTCACTTGGGATGCCTGAGCTGCAAGTGGTAGCTTAACCAGCGGCTGCAGCGCCCTGCTTGTGCATACACACCATGGGGTTGAGGGGCCTTGGTGGACGCCCCACACCTGTCTCCAGTCATTGCTGCCAGATTCACTCCCCAAGCCTCTGATCTCTGCCCCTTCCTAGTAACGATCCACACGTGTCCAAAGTGGGATGTAGAGGCTGGGAACATGTGTGCTCACACAGGACATGTGTGCACACACATCTGTATCTGAGTGGTGCTTCACGGCTCCGGCCACAGCACAGGGCGAGGACAGCAGCCCTGGCTGGCGCTACACGGCTCCGGGCACAGCACAGGACGGGGACAGCAGCCCTGGGGCCACAGCACCCACTCTGCAAGGCCGCTCTGGCCTCTTCCTGCTGTCGCTCCAGGCTGCCTGTTCTGCCTCCTTCCAGGGTTGGATTCAAACTTGTTAGGCTCCTACTTCAGGGTGGCTGACTCACCTGGCTCAGGCCGAGGCTGCTACTCATGCAGTCCCCTGGCCCCTAGGGCCTTGTGGGGAGCAGGCCCGTGCGTGGCGGGACCATCTCTGGTGCAGGGCTGCTGTGCTCACGTGTGCTGCTTCTGTTAGCCAGGGCCAAGGTAGTCCCCAGAGGTGGGGTGGCTGTGGTGGGTGTCTGGGCTGCTGGGGGAGCCCTGGGACCATCCTCAGATCTTAAGATGCTGAGACCTGCTCTGTGTGGCTGTGGGATACCAGAGCCATGGCAGGGCCTGTCAGCCTCCTCCTGAGGCCACCGTAGCCACCACGGAAACCGGCGTCCTGAGCCTAAGCCCGCTGTGTGGGGCCAGGGCATCATCCTTCCCTGTCCTGAGAAGAACCCAGGGCTTAGAGACCACATCTGTGCTCAGGCTGGCCAGACTGCTCAGTCAGGGTGGACAGGGGTCTTCTGAGGGTCCCTGTGTGGGGTCCCACGGCAGTGGCCCCTGAATTTTTCTGTCCCCTGACCTGAGTCAGCCTGGCGTTTTCATGCTCCACACTTTGTTCAGGATGTAGCCTCTGGGAGGTGGACATGAGCACCCACCCCCGGGCAACACAGGTGCTGACCAAAAGACTCCCCTGGGGCCCGCCGATGCCACGAGAGGCTTGAGCTGGCCTGCGGCAGCTGGGTTTCCCTAACTGGACAGTATGGTGTCGAGCAGGGGGAGGGTCCACATCTCCTCCAGCTCTGCGTAGCCTGGTGGGAGACCCCAGCAGGGGCTGGGTCCTGTCTGCACCTGTTCCAAGGGCACTGGAGCGGCATCAGACTCGGCACCTGCAGGACACCCAGGAGCTGAAGCAGCCCCACTGGCCAGAGAGGGCTGTGTGAGCCCAACGGCTTCTGGGCTCAGATCTCAGCAAAGGGGGAAGCGGCTCCTCCAGCTGCGGAAAGCCGCGTTTGAGGTGACATTCGCAGTCATTTGGGGAGCACCCCCAGGCCTGCGAAGTGACCGCTTGCTCTGTGTCCATTCTCATCCCACATGGGAAGTGGAAGTTGCCAATGTCTTTATCACAAGGAACAAGTTTGCAAAGTGGGTTAATCTGAATTTCCCCTGTTCACCCAGGATCAGTTAGAGCAATGTTAGACTGTGTTCACATAGCTCATCCCTGAGGGCGTGTGTGCAGGTGTGTTTGAGCAAGTACACAAATGTATGTGCATGTCCACATGTGTATGCCCATATAGGTGTGCCAACATGGGATGTATGTGCCCATGTGTATCTGCATATGTGTCCACACATGCACACCCAACATATGTGCATATGTGTGCCCTATAGTGTGCACATGTGTGATATGTGCATGTGCCCACATGTGTGTGCCGTGTGTCATGTGCCCACATGGATGTGCACACACACATGCACCTACGTTTATGTGTGTATCTGCATATGTGTGGGCCCACAGGCGTGTGACCACATATGTGTGTGACCACACACATGTGTATGGGCACACCCACATGGGTGTGCTGCATGTGTGTATTGCAGCATGTGTATGTTGATGTGTCCACATGGGTGTGCCTGCATGTGTTTGTGTGCTTGCAGTGGGTGGGTATACCTGCACACACATGTGGGTGTGTATATATGAGTGTGTGTCATGCACATGTACAGGAGTTTGTGTGACCACATATGATGCAGCTGTTTGTAGGTATGCGTGCACCTCTGTTTGCATATATGGGCCATTTACTCATGTGCATGTGTGTATCTGTGTGCTTGTGCTTTTGTGTGCCACTGTGAGCTTGTTCATGCATGAGTATATATGCGCAGGTATGTGCGTTCATCTGTGTATATGATGTACACATGGGGTTGTATTTTTCAACATGTGTATCTGTATTGCATGTCTACATTGTATGCATATATGTAGATGTGTCAGCTGTGTGCTCACATATGCCTTGCATTGTGGGCTTTGTGCCTGCACATGCATGAGTGGGTTTGTACATGTGTGGGCATGCATGTGCATGCTCATGTGTCTAGGTGTGCTTCCCTGCACATGCACACCTAGAGCCCTGCCTCCCAGGAGGGGGAGCCATGAAAGGTGCATGTCTTTCCTGTGGCGTCGCCCCGGCCCAGGCATATGGTGGTGTGTTTCATGTACAGACCTAAGCCCCTCTCTGCTCCCTCACCATCCTCCTGCCACTGCTGGTTTTTCTCTCTGGTTTTGAGATACAGGTGCAAGCAGGGTTTCATTCCTGTGCTTGTGTATCTTCCATGAACGTACACCCTGGGGCATGGGAGAACTTAGCAGTCCTGTGGTTGCCAGGAGCTCATGTGGCGGGGTATGCCTGTGGGGCTCCATGAATGAGAGCAGTGTGGCCCAGGGCTCTGGCCTGGGGGCCCCAAGGGGGTGAGCAGTGTGGCCCAGGGCTCTGGCCTGTGGGGCTCCATGAATGAGAGCAGTGTGGCCCAGGGCTCTGGCCTGGGGGCCCCAAGGGAGTGAGCAGTGTGGCCCAGGGCTCTGGCCTAGGAGCCCCAGGGGTTCAGCAGAGGCTCATGTCTTGCTCATGACTTTGTCATTTTCCAAATACAGGCTCCAGCTCCCGGGGACTGCTTGCTAGGCTCCTGCACACTCAGCATGCACCCCACCCTGCCTGCTCTCTGTGTTCTACTTTCTCTCTTATGTAAGCTCTGCTGAGGCCGGGCAGGGAGCTGACTGATGGCAGTGTGGCCGTGGCTAGGGTGGGGGTGGTTCGCTGTGCACACTCAGGGTTCTGGACACAGTGCCCACCCTCTGTGCTCTGTATGTCACTTGTTCCCTGGGAACTGGGTTCCCCAGATGGTGGGGCAGCAAGGACACATTGCCAAGTGCCTCTCACTGCCCTGAGCTGTGCTCTGACTGCCACCGAGGTCCCAGGTGGCTCAGCCCTCGGGCTGCCACAGTGTGGCAGGGTCACAGTCACTGACCCAGCCAATGGTTGGTATCGCGCTCTGTATGTACTACATGTGTGTGATGTGTATGTTCCATGTTTGTAAACTCACACATCCCTGTGACCCTGGGGAAGAGGCTGTTAGAGCCTGCCGTCACAGGTGAGCATATAGAGACACAGGCAGCTCCGCCTCCGCCTGCAGCCCAGGAGGCAGTGACAGGCCCTGCTCTGGCTACCAGGCAGCTGAGGGACAGTGAGGGGCAGCCGAAGGGCTGTGAGCATCAGTGAGGGGCAGTAAGGGGCAGAAGGCAGCGGAGGGGCAGCAGGCAGTGGAGGGGCAGCTGAGGGGCAGAAGGCAGCGGAGGGGCAGTAAGGGGTAGCAGAGGGGCAGCTGAGGGACAGTAGGCAGTGGAGGGGTAGCTGAGGGCCTGGCCCTGACCTCCCTCCTAGCTCGGTGTGGTATGTGCTCTCAGCAGCCGTAGGACTGTAGCTGACGCGGCTCCTGCTTGCTGAAAGCAGACAGGGCTGGTGCTGCAGGGACCCCAAGAACAAACATGGCTAATGTACAGTATCCTCAGGGCCTCCCCTTCTGACCGAGGACATGGCTTGTCCAGCGCCCCTGAGACCCTGTTCTCCCCAGTCTGGGGGCCCCACATGGACTCTGAGTGCCCATCCTCACTGAAGGCCCCGCCATTTCTGCCTGCACTGTGGCTAGTATTTTAGCACCTTCCCCTATTTTTCTTTTTGAAGGTTCATTTGAAAGACAGGGAGAGACTCTTCTATCAGCTGTTTCACTCCCCACAGGCGGGGCCAGGCTTAAGGCTTGAGCTCAACTCTGCACAGCTGACATCATGGCCTTGGGCAGTGGGGGGTGGATGCACAGGGAGCTGCCTGGCTGCTTCAGTCACTGCCCACAGTTAGGGGACTCACGTGGGTGCAGGGGTCCAAGCCCTTGGGACACCCTCTGCTGCTTTCCCAGGTTGTTAGCAGGCAGCAGGAGCAGAACTGGAGCAGCCAAGACTCGACCCAGTGCTGGTGTGGGGGTCGGCCTGCACACCACGATGCTAGCACCTCCTTTGGTGTTTCTGGCACATGCCCGGAGGATGTGGGCTGGGGGCTATTCCTGGTCCAGAGTCTTCTGCCTGCTCCCAGGATGGCTGATGGAAAGCTATGGTGCTATGAGGTACCAGCAGAGTGTGAGGATCCAAAAGTGTCGCTGGACGCATACCCTGGGGACCAGCGCCGTCCCTGCCCGCCTTGGAAGTGTCACCATAGGGCAGACATCATGGATGACATGACTGATGTGTTAACTGCGCAGGCACAGGAAGAACCATGCTGGTGGCCTTCACAGAGGCCTGTGATCTGGTGGGCTAGAGGCAAGGACTGAGCCGTTGGACCAGAAGTTCTCTGCAGTGCTTGCTGGGGAAGTGGGGGGGCAGGGGTGATCAGCTGGGGCAGTGTGGCTGGCTCCTGGGTTCCCCCTCGTGTAGCTGGGGGGCCATCTTACGGTCCTCTGGGCACTCACTGTAGCCCCCGGCTCTCCTCGCAGACGGCGTGGCGGCCTTCCGAGCCTTCCTTAAGACCGAGTTCAGTGAGGAGAACCTGGAGTTCTGGCTGGCCTGCGAGGACTTCAAGAGGACGCGGTCGGCGGCCAAGCTGGCGTCCAGGGCGCACCGCATCTTCGAGGAGTTTGTGGATGTGCAGGCTCCGCGGGAGGTGCGCTGGCTCCACCTGCCTATTTGGCCCTGGGGGCGGGGGTACCTCCCTCAGGGGCAGTGGTCCTCCCTGGCAGCATGGGCTGGTGTGGGAGCGGCAGTGGCATGGAGCCGGGCTGCCAGCTTGCTGTGCATCTGCACCCCTGTAGGTGAACATCGACTTCCAGACCCGAGAAGCCACGAGGAAGAACATGGAGGAGCCCTCTCTGAGCTGCTTCGACCAAGCCCAGGGCAAGGTGCACAGCCTCATGGAAAAGGACTCTTACCCTCGATTCCTGAGGTCCAAAATGTACTTGGATTTGCTATCCCAGAGCCAGAGGAGGCTCAGCTAGGCCGGCACTCCCTGCCCTATGCAGATGGCTGAGGTCCGGGGAGGAGTCCCCCGGGTGGGTGAGGAGGGTATGGGAGCCCTGCAGTACTTCCCCTGGCCCCTGCTCTGGGTCCTGACCAAGGGGAGGCAGATTCACTCCCAGGCCCAGCTGACTTGTAAATAGCACAGGACGACGCCCACTGCTTCCGGTTCACCCATCTGCTCACTTGGCCGGCTGGGGAGGGGCTCCATGGTCTGGTCCCCACAGAGCCCCAGCAGCTCACTGACATTGGTCTTTGCCTGCCCCCTCCCATGTGGCTCCAGCAAGTGTCTTGGACAATGCCCTCCATGACCTCTGACCTGACACTGCCCTTGGTAGATTCAGCTGGGAACCCTCCCAGCTCTGCCCATAGACTGGAACTGGCAAAGCTGGGGTCCCCTGACTGTGGGCAGTGACTGAGGCAGCCAGGCAGCTCCCTGTGCATCCACCCCCCCCACTACCCAAGGCCATGATGTCTCAGCTGTGCAGAGTTGAGTTCCAGGCAGTTTGTTGCCCAGGAACATGCTGTTGGGACAGGCTCTTCTTGACCTCTGACCTCTGGCATTGCAACCCCAATGGACAGGGTAAAAGGCTGAGGGTCGTGGACTTCTGGCTGCACAGGACTTGCCCACAAGGATGCTCTCCTGAGAGCCGGCGAGCACATGGAAGACACCGACCACGGTGCAGGGCCTGGTCCCAGCAGAGCTGAGGGACCAAGTGTGGAGACTGGACCAACCGCCCAGCAATGCGCCCAGCAATGCGCCCAGCAATGCGCCCAGCTGGGCAAGGCTGGCTACGTGCTCTGGGCTGCAAAGGGGGAGCCCTCTCCTTGCAGGGGAAGCAGCTGTGGCTGGGAGCTGACCACAACTGGATGGGGCCAAGCAGGCCCTCATCTCATGCTGTAAGGACCACTGTCCTGCCTTGCGTGTCATCATCCCAGAGTGAGGGCTGGTGCATGGGTGTGCAACACATGTGCCCAGAGCTTGTACCTCTTGGGGGCTCCCAACCAGACCCTAGAGCCCCAAGGGGACATTCCCAGGGGCACGGGTCAGTGCCGTCCTCAGTTGAGTCTGCCGGAATGAGTCTGTGATGGAACTCTGCTGCCGGGAGCCACAATGTTTACATGCAGCTCGGGCCTCGGCAGCCTGCTCTGTGGCCCGAAGGCTCATGTGGACAAGGAACCGTCATGGGGGTCAGCATGGACAGCTCGGCAGAGCACACCGGCAACCCAGACAGCACAGGTGCAGAGGTGTGGCTGGGCCAGGCGTATGGGCACCTGTCTGCATGCCCAATGCCCCCTGCCAGCACAAGTGGTCTTCCAGGGGGTGGGGCCCACACCCATCTCTCCATTGTCTTCCTGAGCTTCTCACCGCATGTGGCCACATTCCCCATCCTGGGCCTGGCAGTGGTTGGGGCTCTGTGGCTCCAAGACCTGTCCCTCTGCCCACCGAGCCCCATCTGAGAACTCACAGAGCCCATTGACCAGCAGGCAAGCCTGTTTCAGGCATGGCAGCTCCTGCTCCCCTAACAGTTGCACTGGGTAGGCCCTGACGTTTGTGCTTCTCCTGGGCCCTGGACTGCGCCCTGGGCTTCCATGGCCGCCCAGCATCCACATCCCGCCACAGAACTGACCCGGCGACGCTGGTGGGGGACTGGGACGAGCTGGGGCCGGAGTGGCCAGAGAGGAACCAGGAACCAGAACAGTGCTGGGATCCCCGCAGCCTGAGGGGGCAGGGACCCCATAGTTATCAGCGGGGAGCACAGGCACCTCCAGGACTGAACCCCCATCAGAGCTGGCTTCAGCGGCCTTTCTAGAGGCCCTCTCCCTCCGCCCCACACACAAGCTGCCATCTCCAGTGGTACCTCCTGCACCGGTGCCCTTTGCCAGCGCTCCTCCTGCTCCTGGCAGCCGAGGCCTCATCTGTCCTCCCAATGCCCGGCTCCCCTACCCTGCCAGCGTGGCAGAGGGGCTGAGCCGAGCAGAACCGGTGGTGCCCGCCCCGCAGCTTCCTTCCAACAGGCCGCGAGCACAATAAACTCAGCTGGAACCCGCCGCGCTCCTGCCCGCCTGTTTCGCTGCAGACACGTGGGCGCCTGGCTCCGCAGCACGCGGCTTGTGGCGCGGAGGCAGAGGCCAGGGGGACGGGGGGACGCGGGCGCGGGAGCCCGGCGGCGGTGGGTTTGGGAGAACGGCTTGAAGCAGGCAGGTGTGCGTTCACGGGGGCGCAACGGGCCCTGTGCTGTCTGGCTTTGGGGAGAGGGAAGGCTGAGAAGGAGCCAGGGGTTCTGTGATCCCTCAGGTTGGAGCAGCAGCTGGCCTGGCTAGAAGGCATCCCTTTGGTGAACCGCCCGTTTTTTCCTATGCAAATTGTGGCCCCATTCTAGGGCTGTCGGTGGGGGCGGGGTTGTGCAGACCCGGCCCCGGAGGGGTGAGGCAGCTCGCTTTCCTCCTCCTCCTCCTGCTGCTTTTGAACGTGCTCCTGGGTCTGCTTCCCCCTGGTGACCAGGCCACCCTCCAGAGACCCTGCCCCAGAGTCCTTGGCCGCCCACCGCCCTGCAGTCTGCTCCCTGACTGGCAGCACCTGCGGATATTCTGATCCTCCTGCCTTGGTGATGTGTAGGCTCCGACCCTGGCCCCTCTCTGCCCAGGAAGAGGGGTGCCGGCTGCCCTTCCTAAACAGTCAGTCTGGGCCCTCCCAAGGCCCCTGGGCCTGGTCCTCATTACCTTTCCTGGGCGGTTGCTTGTGGTGGAGTCTGCATGGGCCATCGGAACGGGTCCTGCTGTTCGATGCAGCTGTGCAGGCAGGCTGGGATCTTGGGTGTTTGAAGCCCCACCTGCTGTGCACAGACACCTCCCTGAGCCTGACGGGGTGAGGGGACTCCTGCCAGAGGTGTGGATCCCTGCTCCCCCACAGTGCCCACCTTCTGACTCCAACTCCACATGCGGGAATGGCGCAGGGACCAATCCAGTCTCCTTCAGGACCCCTCCTCATTGCTGCCCAGGAGATGTGGGACACAGTGCAGGAGTGGAGTGGGACGTGTTGTGACCTCTGTCCATGCCTTCTGGCCCTGCCCCTATCAGCCACGGACACAGGGGACCCCGAGTCCATGTCTAGGTGATGCCTATATACCCTGATGGAGTCAGGCTCTGGTCTGTGACTCGGGTTACCCTGAAACTCCTTCTGCACCCTTGATAAGGTGGACTTCAGAGTTGGACCACCTGCGTTGACACTCCAGCATGACTCACTCAGCTGTTTGGCCAGGGGAAGTACTTCTGATCCCAACTGTGACACTAACAGTGGCCACACGTGGGCCCCACGAGCATGTCACGTGTGTTGCAGCCACAGGGGACAGCACTGACTGCATCCCCACCCACTGGCTTCTGGCTCCTGAGAGCCTCGGCTAGCCCACAACACACAGAGGGTGCCAGGCCTGGAGCTCTGCACAGAGGTGGGAACTGAACAGCAAGCCACCACTGGGGCCTCAGAAACAGCTCTGCCTTCTCACAGGACCTGTGTGTGAATGTGAGAGGAATGAGGAGTGAGTGTGAGGAGTGAGAGGAGTGTGAGGAGTGTGAGAACTGTGAGGAGGGAGTGTGAGGAGTGTGAGGAGGGAGTGTGAGGAGTGTGAGGAGTGTGAGGAGGGAGTGTGAGGAGGGAGTGTGAGGAGTGTGAGGAGGGAGTGTGAGGAGTGTGAGGAGGGAGTGTGAGGAGTGTGAGGAGGGAGTGTGAGGAGTGTGAGGAGTGTGAGGAGTGTGAGGAGGGAGTGTGAGGAGGGAGTGTGAGGAGTGTGAGGAGCGAGTGTGAGGAGTGTGAGGAGGGAGTGTGAGGAGTGTGAGGAGGGAGTGTGAGGAAGGAGTGTGAGGAGTGTGAGGAGTGTGAGGAGCGAGTGTGAGGAGTGTGAGGAGTGTGAGGGGGGAGTGTGAGGAGTGTGAGGAGTGTGAGGAGTGTGAGGAGGGAGTGTGAGGAGTGTGAGGAGGGAGTGTGAGGAGTGTGAGGAGGGAGTGTGAGGAAGGAGTGTGAGGAGTGTGAGGAGTGTGAGGAGCGAGTGTGAGGAGTGTGAGGAGGGAGTGTGAGGAGTGTGAGGAGGGAGTGTGAGGAGTGTGAGGAGGGAGTGTGAGGAGTGTGAGGAAGGAGTGTGAGGAGTGTGAGGAAGGAGTGTGAGGAGTGTGAGGAGTGTGAGGAAGGAGTGTGAGGAGGGAGTGTGAGGAGCGAGTGTGAGGAGTGTGAGGAGTGTGAGGAGTGTGAGGAGCGAGTGTGAGGAGTGTGAGGAGGGAGTGTGAGGAAGGAGTGTGAGGAGTGTGAGGAGTGTGAGGAGCGAGTGTGAGGAGTGTGAGGAGTGTGAGGAGTGTGAGGAGGGAGTGTGAGGAGTGTGAGGAGTGTGAGGAGTGTGAGGAGGGAGTGTGAGGAGTGTGAGGAGTGTGAGGAGTGTGAGGAGTGTGAGGAAGGAGTGTGAGGAGGGAGTGTGAGGAGTGTGAGGAGGGAGTGTGAGGAGGGAGTGTGAGGAGTGTGAGGAAGGAGTGTGAGGAGTGTGAGGAGTGTGAGGAGTGTGAGGAGTGTGAGGAAGGAGTGTGAGGAGGGAGTGTGAGGAGTGTGAGGAGGGAGTGTGAGGAGCGAGTGTGAGGAGTGTGAGGAGTGTGAGGAGTGTGAGGAGTGTGAGGAGTGTGAGGAAGGAGTGTGAGGAGGGAGTGTGAGGAGTGTGAGGAGGGAGTGTGAGGAGTGTGAGGAGTGTGAGGAGTGTGGAGGAAGTGTGAGCAGTGTGAGGAGGGAGTGTGAGGAAGGAGTGTGAGGAGTGTGAGGAGGGAGTGTGAGGAGTGTGAGGAGTGTGAGGAGTGTGAGGAGTGTGAGGAGGGAGTGTGAGGAGGGAGTGTGAGGAGTGTGAGGAGGGAGTGTGAGGAGTGTGAGGAGTGTGAGGAGTGTGAGGAGTGTGAGGAAGGAGTGTGAGGAGGGAGTGTGAGGAGTGTGAGGAGGGAGTGTGAGCAGTGTGAGGAGTGTGAGGAGTGTGGAGGAAGTGTGAGGAGTGTGAGGAGGGAGTGTGAGGAAGGAGTGTGAGGAGTGTGAGGTATGCAGGTGTGTGAGGTGTGTGAGGAGGAGTGTGTCCGCAGGATTCCTTGAATTCCCCACAGGCCCAGCTTGGCCACCTAGCCCAGCACGTGGCCTGTGTGGCGTGGGCAGCTGAATCCTGTGTCTTTGTGGCAGTGGCAGACTCCAGGCCACTGCCCCGCAGGGTCACTGGCTGCCGAGGACCCACATGCTGCCTGAAGATCCTGTCCTGACAGGGTCTCCCTTTGTGGTCTTCTTGTTCAGGCCCACCCTGAGGTCTCTGCTGACAGTCACTGGTTAGAATCCCAGCTCTGACATGGTGACAGCAAGAGGCTGGGCTCAGGCCTTTGGAAGGACGTGGCTCCGCCGTGACTGGTGGATGTGGTCACAGAGAGGTGACTGCACAGCCTACGAGTAGGTCCCAAGGCAGCAGGGTTGGGGGCAGACAGGCTCAGTGCTCGCTGGTTCTGTCTCATCTGTCTCCCTTCCCTCTCTGTCTCCTCCCTGTCTCCCTGTCTCTCTATATCCCTCTCTCCCTCTTCCCCTGTCTCCCTCTCTGTCTCAAACCGCCCCCCCCCCCCGGTCTCACCCCTTCTCTCTCTCACCCCCTCTGCCTCTCCCTCTCTCTTGCTGTCTCAGCACTGAGCTCCTGGGGGAGGCAGTGGTGCTCAGAGACACTGGGAGGCTGTGTGAGCTGGACTGTCCAGCTGTTGGTCCCGTGGGGCCCACACGGTCTGCCTAGCCCTATGTGTGCCCTGCCCAGGGGTGGGCAGCCTGGGGAGGCTGACTCACTGCAGGGGATTCACGTGGTCCTGCCCTGAGCCACCTCGAGGGCTGCAGGCCCCAGCAGTCCTTCCCCAAGTAAGACATGGCTGATGGCTGTATTCCCTGGGCCCAGTTGCCACAGCCAGACCAAGGGTGGGCAGAAACCTGGGACCAGGCCCCTGTGCACCTGTGCCCCTCTCTGCCTCATCTCCTGTGAGCTAGAAGCACCCATGTTTCTGGGCAGGATGACCATGGACACTGCCCCAGGGGGCACTGTCCCAGGGTGACCATGGATACTGCCAGGTGCTGTGGCATCAAGGGCTGCTGAGGGACCAGTAGCTTCTCTGGGGCAGAACCTGTGGCAAGTGGCTGTGGTGGATGCTCTGGGGCCCAGCGTAAGCTGACCTCACGGGAAAGGCAGCTCGCTAAGCTGGAGCTGTAAAGGTGTGAGTCCATGACTCGGAGCCTCGGAACATGGCCCAGGGTCCCCATCATTCCCTGGTACCCAGAGCCCAGATGATGCCCAGGGGCATCTGGGCAGGCAGAATTCACCCAGGGCCCCAGCTAGCGGGCAGCGCAGGCCTCACACCTCAGGCCCCCCTCAGGTCCTGGGTGGGGAGAGGAGAGGGGGAGGAGGCCCAGGAGGGGGAAGAGGGTCCTGAGCGGGGAGGAGTGGAGGGACCTGGGAGGAGGAAGAGAAGCGTTAGAGGAAGACAAGGAGGAAGAGTGTCCTGGGCAGGGACAGCCAGTCCCCCATGTCACCTGGCCCTGCCTCTGACCCCGGCTACAGAGGGCCGGAAGGGGTCCGGTTGCTGACCTGGGGCCTCACTTAAACCAGGACCACCTGCTCTACCCCGTGGGCTCTGTTGAGAGCTTCTCCACCAGCAGAAAGCTCTGTGCCTGCTCGGCCCCTCCCCCAGCACATTCAGGCATGGATGGAGCAGCTGCGGGCCACCTGCTCTGCGGCTGCTGAGCCCTTTTGTGACTGGGAACACGTGTGCCTGACACGGTGGGCGGAGGACCCTGGAGGGACTGCCTGGGCCTTCAGCTGCCTGTGATCACCTGTGCAGGGCCCCTAGCCGCCTCCTGCAGCCCCTGGCTGCCTCCCTCAGCCGGCCCGGCCCCTCTCCACTGCACTGGGTTCCCCTCCCCCCTGGTCTGGGAGCAGGGCCGGAGCTGGGGTCTCTCCGGGCTTCTGCCCACTCCAGCCCACCCTGTGGACAGGTGTTGGCTGCAGGGGCAGGAATGTCCTCAGGCTCCTAGGCTCCTGTTTTCACCAAAGAGCCACAAAGATGGCAGTGCCCACCAAGGACTTCAAGCTGGGGTCAGGAGTCACTGCTTCCACGTTGCAGGGACAGTGAGGTTCTGGCTGGCATCCATCCACAGCAGCTCACAGCAGGCTCCTGCCCTGTGAGGCTGGCTTCTGCTTGGATTCTGGCTCCCCCAGCTGCCTTGATGCCCCCAGAGCCTCTCAGGGACATGGGCACTGACCCCCAGCCTCTGCACCAGGTGGCTTTTCTCCTGGAGACCCTCCCTGTTCCAGAGAGCCTGCAGGGATCCCACCCAGGTCCATGGCCCAGGGATACCTGCAAGGAAAGGATGCAAGAGCCACACCAGGTGAGCATCTCCCCCTCTCCCCCCCCCCCCCACCAGGGCTGAGGACCTCACTGAGGAGGGGTGGGTCCTGATTCTCCATCTTGTCTCCCTCCTGCGCAGGCCCCCCTGAAGGCTGGGAACCCCAATGAGGAGGGGGCAGGATTACATGACCCTTACTGTCTCTTGGAATTTGGTCTCTCCAATCCGGGTTTGAGGCTTCCTGGCAAAGCCAGGTGGTCCTTGGCTGTTCCCTGTGTCTGGGAGCAGGGCCCTGAGAGGTGGTGAGGACCCCAGCGCACAGGCTGCAGAGTCCTCTGCGCAGTGAGAGCCAGCTGGGAGGCTCTGCTTAGAAACAGGGGGAGTCGTGTGTGGACCAGATCCCCCTAGGAATGGATGCACAGCACCTCACAGCCCCCAAGTGCCATCTCTGGCCCCTGTAGCGGTCTCCCCACCCAGCCTCTGCCCTGTGCCTGTCCCTAGTCTGAGTCAGCCTCAGCAGGAAGTAGAACAGGTGCAGCCCAGTGCTGATGCTGCTGAGGGTCATGGGGCACACGTGTGCGGGACAGATGTCCACACGCGTGTGCACACACTCTGTGCTCAGGGTGGGGCAGAGGAAGTGATTGGAGCCCGTGTGGCCCCGAGGGAGGGGAGACTCTGGGGAGCTGCCATGAGCAGCCACGGCACCAGAGGCAGCCGATTGGATGCAGCAGACGTGGCCCATGGCCACTCAAGGCAGAGGGAGGCGTGGCCGGTACGCAGCTCCGGCTGAGCCAGAGCGCCCGCTTCCAGACGTCACGCGCCACCGCCTCTTTCCCTAGCCAGCGTGTGTTTCCAGGGAAACCGATGCCCACCCTGAAGCCCTCTCTCCCCCGCCTGCACGTGGACCCACTCCCTTTCCCCGGGATGCAGCCTGCCTCGCGTGTGGGGACTCTAGGACACAGATGGGCGCCCAGAGGGCAGGCCCTGACCTCGGGAAAGGGGCGCCGGGAACCTCTGGGCCACTGCATTCAGGGAAAACTGGGGGGGGGGGGGTTGTCAGCTGGGACTCGCCCGATCCCCGTTGCAGGGATGGCCCACTAGCAGGACTTGGTCAGTTCCAGCAGGATGGTGAGATCTGGGGTCCAGCTGCTGGGTGCCCCACCCCGCCCATCCTGACTCTTTCCCTGGAGAAATGGTGGGCCAGGGCTGGGCCTCTACAGGAGTATCCTCATGCTTGGGTGAGGGTCGGGGCTGGGTCCTAGCCACTCTGCAGTGAGTGGGGAAGGGGTCCATGCCCCATGCCACTACTAGTGCAAAGGAGATGTGGGACCAATGTGAAGTCCCTACCCACAGACCTTAGCTAACCACTGCAAGTGGCAGAGGCCTTCTGCTCTGTGTCCTCAGAGGGAGGGCAGCTGGGAGCTTGGACAGCGCTGGGCAGAAACTCGGCTATTCTGTCTGCAGAAGGGAGCATCGCTGGGGGCACAGAGACACCAAGAGGAGGTCTCGCTCCATATCCGGCTCTGTCTCCCCCGGGGAGATTCACACGTTTGAAATGCGGCATGACACAGAGAAGGGGATAGACAGGTCCCCACCCCAGCTCGCACCTGTTCTGCGGCAGAAGAGCGAGGGGGGTCTCAAAGAAAGGGGGTCCTGGCATTCACATTCCAGGTGCGTACCCTGAGCGCGCCTGGGGCGTAGTGCGTTCAGGTTCCCTGCAGGGCACTGCAGACGTTAGCGGTGGCGCTACCTCGAGACTTCCCTGCCACCTGTCCCTAGGCGCCCCGCGTGGTCCTTCCTGGAGAGTGGGCGCGGCAGTGGGAAAGTGGCGCCTCGTCCCTCCCGGCGCTGATTGGCCGGCGGCTCCTGACCCGATCCCCGATTTGTCGGCCGTGCCAGCCGCGCCCCCGGCGATGGCATAAATCAGGTGGAGCGCGCGGTCCAGGAGCCGGCTAAGGAGCAGGGGCGGAACGGCTGGGCCCTCCCGCGGCTGGCAGCCATGTGCCGCATCCCCGCCTCCTGCCTGGAGCGGTAAGAGGCCGGCGGGGTCCGCCCCCGACACGGGGTGCCAGGGCTAGACAGGGGATCCCCGCAGCCTCCAGCCCTCCCCGAACTGGGTTGGTTTTTTACCTAGTTCCAGGAAAGGATGGGAGCAGCCCGCAGCCCCTGTCTCCAGCCGAGGCAGAGCCTGGGGCATCCCGGGGTGGAGGCAGCTGAGAAACCGCTGCGCTCTGGATTTGCCTTTCAGAGCCAAAGGGTTCAGGGCGCGCTTGGAGAGCTGGCTGCACAGACCGGAGCCGGGAGCCGAGACCGGGAGCGCCGCACTGAGTGGGAAGCTCAGCCGAAACAGGTACAAGCCGCTGACCAGCCGGAGAGTCCCGGGCGGGGCGTGCGCGCAGCGGGGACGCTCGGGGGTCGGTGGATGGGGCCGGGCAGCTCCATGGCTTCGCTCCTGGGCGAGGGGACGCAGGGTCATCCGGGGCGCGTGCACCCTCCCGGAAACCCACCCGCTGTGCACGTGGCTCAAAGGCAGGGGCAGCGGCCTCGGGAGTCCGCGGGATGGACCCCTGTGCTCGCCTGCTGCCCTGGGGTTCCTTTTCGGTTCTGAGTGCAGCAGCCCTGGGCCGGGCGCTGTGGTCCTGTAAACGTGCGTTGGGGCCTCTTTGTGTCTGCAGAGGGAAGCTCTCGGAAGAGGCGCTGGGCTGGCAGGACTGCTTTGATCAGCTGTTGCACAACCCGCGTGAGTGGAGGGGGACGCGGGTGGCTGCGGGAGCGGGGTTTGTGCTGGGTGACCTCAGAACGAGCCACTGTCCAGCCATCCCGCTGACTGCACTCCTTCTCCCATCCCAGGGGGACTGGCGGCCTTCCGAGCCTTCCTTAAGACCGAGTTCAGTGAGGAGAACCTGGAGTTCTGGCTGGCCTGCGAGGACTTCAAGAGGACGCGGTCGGCGGCCAAGCTGGCCTCCAGGGCGCACAGCATCTTCGAGGAATTCGTTCGCATAGAGGCGCCTAGAGAGGTCGGCACCCAGAGGCGCCCCAGCCCCGAGAGCCGGGGACCCTCTGGAGAGGCGCTGGGGCCAGCCCTGGGTGCTGCTGCCTGCGGGTCCGGGCTGCTGGGCGCGCCTGCTCTTACCCGGCTGACCTGGCTGGGGAGGCCTGGAGAGCGGGCCTGCCCTCTCAGCCTGGTCCACTGGCTACCCGCCCGCAGGTGAACATCGACCACGAGACGCGGGAGCTGACCCGGAGGAACCTGGAGGCTGCCACGGCCGCGTGCTTCGACCAGGCGCAGGGACAGGCGCGAGCGCTGATGGAGAAGGACTCCTTCCGCCGCTTCCTCAGGTCGCCCGCCTACCTGGCCCTGCTGGCCGGCGCCCCGCAGCCCTCGCACGCCTGAGCCGCCCTGGCCGGCGCCAGAAGGCTCCCAGCCCCGGGCCACCCCGGGCCAGGCTGGACGCGCTGCCCAGGCTCCGTGGGCGCTCTCGCCTGCCTGGGGCCACTCAGCTCTTCTCTGGAACCCTGACCCGGGATGAGGACCTGACACCCCAGGCCCTGCCCGTGAGCCCCATCCAGCTCCGCGGATGCTCTTGGTGGTCTCTGCTGGTGGCCTTTGGTGGTGTCCGGCCAGGACCCCAGCTGGGCGGTAGGGATGACGCAGCCCCTGCCTGCCTGACACAGCAAGGCCCCGCCCCCTCCTGCCTGTCACAGCTCAGGACCCGCCCCTGCCTGCCTGTCACACAGCTGGCCCCGCCCCTGCCTGCCTGTCACACCACTGGTCACGCCCCCTGCCGGTCACACCGCTGGCCCCGCCCCCTGCCGCCTGTCACACCGCTGGCCCCGCCCCCTGCCTGTTACACAGCTGGCCCCGCCCCCTACCTGCCTGTCACGCCGCTGGTCACGCCCCTGCCGCCTGTCACACCGCTGGCCCCGCCCCCATTCTTAGTGTCTGGATGTCCCCAGTGTCCAGCCACTTGCAGCACGACCGCATCTGGGTTGCAAAGGCTGAGGCCGCGGGTTTCACAGGTATCTCCAAGGGGGCCCAGGTCCTGCAACATGCCCTCCCCATGGGCAGCCCGGGTGCCCTCCTTTGCCTGACACCCTTCCATGCCCTTCAGCCGCTGTGAGAGCCTGGCACACAGGGCCCTGTTCCCCCAGGCAAGTGTCTGCGTGGACCCTTAGCCCGCAGGGGCCTATGCTACTGACCTGGGAGGGCTAAGGGTTCTGGCAGGATGCCCGAGCGAAGTTGGGGGTCTGGGAGCTTCCTGTCCTGGGCCCCTGGGTGCGCTGGGCACAATGCCCACCTGGCAGAAAGCCCACACTGCCCATGATGGGTCAGAGCCCGCAGGACAGGACATGACACGCCTCCCACAGGCCACACCAGCTCCAGAGCACCCATGAGGCCTCTGCGTTGGCTGGGCACCCAGCGGTCCACCCGGACGTGGCCACTCCCTCCCCTACCCGAACAGGGTCCAATCCTGCCCCAGGGTCCCCATTCCAACCTGGTCGGCAGAGAGGAACACCAGCGACCTGGGGCCAAGTGGGGTCTCTGTCTACACCTGCCTGCTGGGCTGCCTGGGAGAGGCTCCCAACCCTTGCTTCTCTCCGTCCTCAGGCCCAGGCTTTCAAATTCTGACAGGGTTGTCAAAATGTTTCCATCTGAATAGAACAAGTATTAAAGTTGATTTACACCAAGCTGTGTGTGTCTACACCCGCTTTGTCTACACTCGCCGTGTCTCCTGGACTGACCCATGGACTAGGTTGGCCCTGCCCTACCCTGTTTTTCGGCACGACACTGATTCAGGTTGGCTCAGGTGCTTGCGTGGATCGTGTGCACAGGATCCGGACGTCTCAGAGCATGAAGCTGCTCAGGTGGATGGGGTCTCTGACACCGTGGGGCAGGGACAGGGTCCAGGGACTCACTGAGCGGGCTGTCCCGTGTCCCCCTGTGACAATCTGCATTGATGTGACTTGGGTACCTACAGGAGTCCAGATGTGCTGTGGGCCCCCAGAGCGCAGGCTCACCTGGGGAGATGGAGGCAGAGACCAGCTGCACAGTTACAGGGCAGGAAACCCTGGGCGGCTTCCAGGTAGGGGTTCCAGGTGGGGGTCTTCCAAATGGGGGTTCCAGGTGGGGGTCTTCCAGGTAGGGGTTCCAGGTGAGCCTTCCAGGTGGGGGTTCCAGGTGGGCTTCTCAGAGCCACACAGAGGCTAATTTCTCCAACTTGGTGCCCGGTCAGAGGTGCTCCGAGTGTATCCTGGGCGGAGGACGAGGGGCAGACAGTTGTGGCCAAGTGGGATGAAGGGGCCCGTTCCAGGTCCTTGTCTCTCACCAGAGAGCGCAGTGGGCACAGGGGAGGACGTGTGGGCACTGCTCAGGGTAAAGGGGAGGAGAGCCCTGTCCACGGAGGGCGCTCCCTCCTGCTGCTGGCCTAGGAATGACAAAGGGTGTGGTTCCTGGGCTTCACCCCAGGCTTCCAGGAGAGGGACAGTATCTCTGGTCACTTGGTTACTTGACCGGCAAGTGGCCTGGGGCAGCAAGTGGGGCTCCCTGCTCTCTGCAGAAAGGCGTGGGTGAGGCCTGGGCAGGGAGGAGGGGATTGAAGTGTGTTCATGTCTGTCCTTTGCTTCCTGGATCTCCTCTGGCCCCGCCTCCACAGGGCCAGGCTTTGGGGCAGTTGGAGGCCACGGGGAGCAACTGCAGGTAAGGGGTACAGGGACTCCCTGCAGTGCTGGAACCAGGCTTCCCGGAGTGCTGCCTCCTGGGAGGGCTGGGTGCGGGGTGGGAGCGGGTGGGGGAGATACGTGGTTGCCCAGCAGAGGTTTGAATCCAGACTCAAGCTGGCGCCCGAATGGGATGCCAGTGCGGCAGTGCTGGCTAGAGGCTCCTGATTGGTCCATGCCAGCACAGCCCTGCTGATCAAGGCATCGGGATGGCACCATCGGGATGCCAGTGGCGCCACCTAGGGCCCCCCGTGGGACTGTCTGCCTGCCTGTGGTGGTCTGGCCTCGCAAGGGACCCTGTGGCCCTCCCTCCCCCAAGGGCCGGGTTTGGGGAAACTGAAACTGGAGCCCTAGCGGAGAGGAAGTGGCTGTGGGGAGTGACACACCCAGGGCTGAGTCAGGCTGGCTTTGTAGAGTCCAAGGTCCTTACACTACTGCCCGGCTGAGGGCAGCAGAAAAGCAGGTGGGCCAAGGCTACAGGTGTGTTCCTGGGCGGCGAGGGCTCCCTCCTTCAGGGGGTCTGCCTTCTGCAGAGGGGGCTCCAATGCTGCTGAAGGAAAGGTTCCCACACCCCTCAGGGCTGGGAAATCCACCCTAAGGAAGCCAGGAGCCCAACTCACCACCATGTCATTGAGACGTCTGGCCACCACTTGCCACGTGTCATTTGGACAGGTAACCCCTGCCAGGAGGGCCTCTGTCTGGCTGGCCTGGGTCCCCCGACAGCTGTCCTGGTCCCCCCACACTGGCCTGGTGTCCCCCACAGCTGGCCTGGTTCCCCCCCACAGCTGGCCTGGTCCCTCCACAGCTGGTCTGGTCCCCCCACACTGGCCTGGTCTCCCCACGGCTGGTTAGAGCCAGCCCTAACAACTCACACCAGTGCAGCCATGCAGCTTTCAGGATCTGAGTGGGGAAGAACTGCCAAGGACTCCTTCTTTGTTCCTTTTATTATTATTTAAAACTGAGAAAGTGAACAATCTCACTTAAGGCCTCAGTTGATGGAGGCATGGAGCCTTCATTCTGGCTCCCATGCTGGGCTCTTGCCCCGTGCAGGGGCCAGGACAGAATCCCAGGCCCAGTCTGGCCAGTCCAGGAGTTGTGTAGGCATCTAGGGGTATATCTTCATTTACTTATTTTTATTGGAAAGTCAGATATACAGAGAGGAGAAGAGACAGAGAGGAAGATCTTCTGTCCAATGATTCACTCCCCAAGTGACCACAATGGCCAGTGCTGGCCAATCCGAAGCCAGGAGCCAGGAACTTCCTCCAGGTCTCCCATGCCGGCGTAGGGTCCCAAAGCTTTGGGCTGTCCTCGACTGTTTTCCCAGGCCACAAACAAGAAGCTGGACAGGAAATGGGGCTGTCGGGGTTAGAACCGCTGCCCATATGGGATCCTGGCACATTCAAGGAGAGGACTTTAGCCGCTAGGCCACGGCGCCAGGCCCAATCCTGACTTTGGACCAGCTCTGATGGTTGGGGCCACGTAGGAAGTAAACCAACAGATGGAATCGTGCTCTTTGTAGCTCTGACTCTCAAATAAACAAGGCTGTAAAGGATTTATTCATTTTTATTTAAAAGGCAGAGCTACAGAGGGAGAGACAGAGTTCCATCTGCTGGTTCACTCCTCAGATGGCCGCAATGGCCGGAGCTGAGCTGAGCTGATGCCAGGAGCCAGGAGCTTCTTCCAGGTCCCCCACGCGGTCAGGGTCCCAAGGCTTTGGGCTGTCCTCCGCTGCTTTCCTAGGCCGTAAGTAGAGGTGGATGGGCAGTGGAACAGCCAGGACACAAACCAGAGCTCATATGGGATGGCTGGTGCATAGGAGCAGGACTAACCTTCTTCAGCTCCGTGCCAGGCCCGAAAGAAGCAAACCTTAAAAATAAAACCAAACACTTTAGTAAGAGAAGCAAGGGGCCACCACGAGCTCCTAGCAGTGCAGACAAACACAGACTGGCATGGCTGCCTGCGCTGAGGGACAGAACCCAGCTTCTCTTTAACAGGCACATACTGCGGCCGCAGGATCTGGGGGCATCACTCTCAGCCAGCCCAGGATCCGGGGGCGTCACTCTTAGCCAGCCCAGGATCCAGGGGCCGTCACTCTCAGCCACCCCAGGATCCGGGGGAGTCACTCTCAGCCAGCCCAGGATCCGGGGGCCGTCACTCTCAGCCAGCCCAGGATCTGGGGGGGAGCAGTCACTCTCAGCCAGCCCAGGACCTGGGACGGGGCAGTCACTCTCAGCCACCCCAGGATCCGGGGGCGTCACTGTCAGCCACCCCAGGATCCGGGGGCGTCACTGTCAGCCACCCCAGGATCTGGGGGCAGTCACTCTCAGCCACCCCAGGATCCGGGGGCGTCACTCTCAGCCACACCAGGATCTGGGGGTGTCACTCTCAGCCACACCAGGATCTGGGGGCAGTCACTCTCAGCCACCCCAGGATCTGGGGGCGTCACTCTCAGCCAGCCCAGGATCCGGGGGCGTCACTCTCAGCCACCCCAGGATCCGGGGGAGTCACTCTCAGCCACCCCAGGATCCGGGGGAGTCACTCTCAGCCAGCCCAGGATCTTGGGGGGAGCAGTCACTCTCAGCCAGCCCAGGACCTGGGACGGGGCAGTCACTCTCAGCCACCCCAGGATCCGGGGGCAGAGGTGGCAAGGAAGCCTTGGCTCAGGGATTAAGCCCT